CTGACAACTACGTGGTACATCAGTTCTGGTGTAAAGATAATAATGGAGTACTGAAGGTAATTTACTGCAGAGTACCGAAATATAGTGTGTCACACAGCGATGGAAAAAGAGCTTTCATAACAAAGAAAGGTTTTTATAAACAAAAAATTTTAGACTTTGAGATAAAGCTAGGCGATACCGTAAATTATGGATTGTACGTAGAAAGAGTTACAGTATTTTAAGTCATTAATCTGAATTCATTATGGTTCCATTTATTATTGGATTGCAAAGCTGAACTGGTGATTAATTATTACAAAAGGATGAGGTCTGTGTGAACTTACATCGAGACAAATCTGCCTGGCTTTTAAAGTTATTGAAAAAAGTGGGCAGTACATAGTCTAGATCGAAACTGAAAGGATGCAATTGTGAACATGTGAACAAAAGGGTAAGGTCTGTGTGAACTTACATCGAGACAGCGAAAACTGGAAGACATGTGTAAATTTCTAGGTAGAAAATTATTCCTCGTAACAGACGGATCGATTCCATAAACGCCGCAATTTGTAGTTCAAGTGAGGAAGAGACAACCAGGTGTTAGATATAATTTGGCTTGGAATGAGAAATGTGATTCAAAATATCCCTGTGAAAAGACGATTTTAGTCACACGCGAACAGTCAAGTGGGGAAGAGAAAAAATATCCTACTAGCTCCTCGTTACCACGTATAGATATGGAAAAGAAAGATATTTTCAGGACGAAGTACTACACCTATTGCCGAATTTTACTGATCATACTTGGATTATGGCCTGAAATGCCCAGAAGGAAAGCGATATTTGTGCAATTCATTGTGGTTCTGAGTTTCTTTACAGGAATATTACCAATGGTTTGAAGTATTATTCACTTCTACGTCTATCAATTCTTGAAATAATAATAAAATATCCAATGTTATCATTGTTTTAGTGGTTATATTTGATTAGAGTATGTGATAATGTTGATGATTTCATAACTTCATTATCAGAAAACTTGGTTCTCAGTTTAGCGCTTGTAAAATATTTCTATTTCGTTGTTAAACGGAAGCAGGTGGGTACACGTCTACAAAAAAGCAAAAGTAAATCATAAAATATCTTGTAAATATTCTGACACATTATAATTACCACTCGCTGTAGATTCAACTCATTATGCGTGAGATACGAGACCATTGGCAGATGGCGGAGAAATTATCGTCCTTACAAATTCTTCAAACATATACTAAAAAAGGATATACCACAACTGTGTTGTACACGGGTACATAATTTATCTTATTATGACATTAAATTGTTCTTTTGGATAAGATAAATTGGCAGACGATCACTTCATTGAAGGACGAAGGATGAATAGTCAGGAAGAAATATTTCCAATTTGTTATTTATTCGATTCTTCAGCATCTTCTATATTTTATGGATAATATCGGTATTATGTAATTATCGCAACACTTTCGATTATTCATCCTTCTTTTTTTCTTAAGTTTATTTCAACATTTATTGAGTCAGATTCACGTTAGATTCACATTATTGAAGACTTATTCATTGCAGTGGTGATCTACAGTGTAGTTGCCGCCTTTAATATATTCCCAATGGCACCATTATTAATGGACATTCTCGTTCCTCTTAATGAAACACGAGCAAGCTTATATGCCATAAAGACCGATCACTCAATCTACGGTTTCGATGTAAGTGACAATGATTTCCCAATCCGAATTCATCATCTAGCGACTTGTGTATTGATGCTGACATACGTGATATCAATCGATATTTTTATTGTAATGGTAATCGAACATTGTTGTGGGCTCTTTGAAATTATTGGGTGAATCTCTTTGAAATATTCTATTTTTTAAAGGGCAATGCTTTTTCATCATGCTGTATGAAATATAATATTGCATGATAGTTTTACAATTTGCAGTCTTAAAAAATCACACTATGACAATAGTATATTACATGCCTAGGTCAGTAAAAAGGAAATGTCTCAGATAGTATGAAGTCGTTGGGCGAGTCCCTTCTTTTTTACCGGCCGAGGTATGTCCCCGATTTTTCTGTCCAACCACCCAAAAAATCGCAACTTCTCAGCCGCGCAGCGGAGGCCAGAAATAGTATATTTCCAGACTATTGAGATGAGATTTTTTATTCGTGTGGAGTTGGCCTTCGGGCCGAAGTCTAGAATCGGCCAACCACACGAGAAAAAAACCCCAATCCAACCGGATAATATTTTTCATGCATTATGATGAAAAATACGCTCCTAACGCTATAATCCTACACTCATGCGGAAAGTGTTTTTCAACTTGTGGAAGATTTTATTCCATACGCTGAAAATCAATTTTCGCACTAGTACCGAAACATACTATTTATGTGTTTATTCAAAACATATTGTAGAGACATATTGCAACGAATTCACACGGATCTTCCTGTTACCCGGCAACATGAAATCATTTGTG